TGAACTGATAGCAAAGGAAGTAACAAAACAGATCAACGAGGCTCTAGAAAAATTCAAAACAAAAATAATTTCTGAGATAACTACAGTGATGGTAAGCAGAATGAAAGACATCGTCAGAGACTCTAGAACAGAAACATTTTTTTTTTTAAAAAGAGGACTTCAGGACCATGACATAAGCCATGAATGCCCAGCATAGGAAACAAATCGAAGCCATGAACGCCCAAGATAGAAAGAAAATGGAATCCATGAAACAGACTCAGAGATTCAGGAGATTAGAAATTCTATTGAAAATATTCAGGGCAGAGTGAGCCAATCTGAAGACAGAATGTCAGACACAGAAGATAGGATGGCTATCAGTGACCATGAAAAGAGAGATCTCTTAAAAATAGTAAGGGGCCACTAGAAATCAATCCAACACTTTCTAGATGATTCAAAGAAGAATAATATAAGACTTATAGAAGTCCAGGAAAAAGCAGGATAAAGTACAAATGACATTAAAAAAAAACTGTTCACAAAATTAATGACAGAAAACTTCCCAAACAGAGTAAAAGAATTTGACAAACAGATAAGTGAGGTGTACAGGACTCAAAATAGCCATGATAAAAAATCTACACCTAGATATGTAATAATCAAGATCACAGAAACCCAACAGAAGAACAAAATACTACGAGCAGTTAGAGAAAAGAAACAAACAACATGTAAAGGAAAACCCATTAGAATCACAACAGACTTTTTAACACAAACCCTCAAGTCAAGAAGAGCCTGAAGTGAGGTATTTCAAGCCCTAAAAGAAAACCACCTCCAACCTACACTGATGTACCCTGAAAAACTATCTTTCAAAATTGATGAGAAAATAAGATACTTCCATGACAATGAACACCTGAGAAACTTTATAAATACCAAACCAGCACTCCAAACAATTCTAAAATCCTAGAAAAAGACAGTGAAGGTCACAACTCCCTGAGACCCAAGAGAGCAAATCCATCAGGCAAGGCAAGAAATTAAAGGGAGAGGGGGAAAAATAAAGAAGAGCCAGAAACAGGAAAATAACATGACAGTGATAAATCAATACATATCAGTTGTAACCACCAATTTTAATGGCCTCAATTCACCAGTCAAACAGACTGGCAGAATGGATTAAGAAGCAAAATCCAACAATATGCTGTATACAGGAAACATACCTAGTTAAAAAAGAAACTCATAGACTGAAAGTAAAAGGATGGAAAACAGTTCTCATGTGACAGGGACCTGGAGGAAAGCAGTGGTAGCTATCTTATTTGCAGACAAAGTAAATTTCCAACAAAAACTAATTAAAAGAGACAAAGAAGGCCACTAAATCCTTGTAAAGGGAACAGTCCAAGAGGAAGAGATAACAATCATAAATATATATGCACCAAATACTAATGCCCCCAAATATACAAAACAAGTTTCAAGGGACATGAAAAACCAAATAAGCACTAATACAATTGTAGTGAGTGACCTCAATACCATACTGTTACAAATAGACAGATCAACTAGACAAAAAAATCAACAATGAAATACTAGAACTGAACCAAACTTCTGAAGGAATGGACTTGATACATATCTACAGTGTTTCACCCCACAAAATCAAAATACACATTCTTTTCAGCAGCGCACAAGTCACTGTCCAAAATGGATCATATGCTAGCTTATAGAACATGCATAAGTAAACGCAAAAGAATTGAAGTGATGCCCTACGTATTAATAGTCCACAGCACAATGAAATTGGAGCTCAATAGTAAAAGAAATCAGAACTCCATGAACACATGGAAATTAAATAACAGCCTTCTGAACAACCAATAGGTCACAGAGGAAATTAAAGAAATTAGACAGTCTCTACAATCTATTGATAATGCCAGTACAACATATCAGAACTTATGGGACACAATGAAAGCCGTTCTACAAGGGAAGATCATGTCAGTGAATGTTCCTATTAGGAAAACAGAGTGAGCAAAATTAACCTAATGCTGAACCTAAAGCTTCTAGAAAAAGAAGAGCAAGACAAACCTAAAAGCCATACAAGGAAGGAAATTATAAAGATCAGAGAAGAAATCAATGAAATGAAGACTAAGAGAACAATACAAAAAAAAATCAATGAAGCAAAGAGTTTGTTCTTTGAAAGAATAAACAAATTGTACAAACCCTTAGCCAAAACTTATTTAAAAATGAAGAAATGGCCCAAATTCATACAATGAGGAATAAAAAGGGTGAAATCAAAATGGATCCAGCAGAAATCCAAAGAACCATCAATACCTACTTTGAGAAATTGTACTCCAATAAGGTAGAAAACACAGAAGAAATAGACATATTTCTAAATGCATATGAATTACCAAAGTTGAACCAGGAGATATAAAAGATAGAAACTACCCCATATCAGTCAACAATATTGAAAATGTAATTAAAAATTCACCATCAAAGAAAAACCCAGGTACTGATGGCCTTACTGCACAATTCTACAAGATATTTAGAGAAGAGTTATTGCCACTACTGTTTAAACAATTCAATGAAATAGAAAGAGAAGCAGTACTCACAAATTCATTCCTGGAAGCAAGTATCACCTTGAGCCCAAAAGCAGAAGAAGACCCAATGAAAAAGGAGAGATATAGGTCAATCTCCCTAATGAACATACACCCCAATATCCTCAATAAAATGCTGGCAAGCAGAATGCAGAAGATCATATGCCCTTACCAAGTAGGATTTATCCCAGGGATACAGGGATGGTTCAACATATGCAAATCAATAAATATAATATACTATATTAATAGAGCTAAGGACAAAAACCATATGATCATCTCAACAGATGAAGAAAAAGCATTTGATAAATCCAACACCCATTCATGATTTTTTAAAAAGCCTGCATAAAATTGGAATAGTCTTTATTTTACCCTTCTATAAGCCATATATGAAAAAAACCACAGCCAACATCATCCTGAATGATCAAAAGCTGAAATCTTTCACGCTAAAATCAGGAACAAGACAAGAATGTCCACTATCATCACTCCTGTTTGATATAGTTTTGGAAACATTAGCCACAGCAATTAGACAAGAGAAAAAGATAAAAAGAATAAAGATAGTAAAGGGAGAAGGTAAATTGTCACTATTTGGAGATAACATGATACTCTATATAGAAAACAGGAACTCTGTGAAAAGTCTTTTAGGCATAATAAACAAATTCAGTAGAGTACCTGGCTATAAAGTCAAAACTCAAAAATCAATAGCTTCCCTGTACACGAACAGCATACTCACTGAGAGGAGTACCAGAGAAACAACTCCTTACACAATTGTATCCTCAAAAATGGAATACCTAGGAATCAATCTAATGAAGGAAATAAAAGACTTCTACTCTGAAAACTATAGCATTCTGAAAAAAGAGACTTAAAATGACATCAAAAAATGGAAAGATATTCCTTGCTCCTGGGTAGGAAGAATCAACATAGTGAAAATGGTCATACTTTGAAAACTGCTATATAGATTCAATGAAATCCTGATTAAAATTCCAACAGTATATTTCACAGAAATAGAGAAAACTACTCAAACATTCATTTGGAACAAGAAGAGGCCTAGTATAGCAAAAGCAATTCTAGGCAACAAAGACAAGGCATGGGGATTACAATCCACAATTTGAAACTTTACTACAAAGCTACTGTGACAAAACAGCATGGAACTGTCAAGGAAATAGACCAGAAGATCAATGGAATAGATTAGAAAATGAAGAAAACCTCCAGATACACTCAACCACCTGATCTTTGGCAAAGGAGCTAAACACTCTAACTGTAGGAAAGATAGCCTCTTTAATAAATGGTGTTGGAAAAACTGGGTTTCAACTTGCCAAAGATTAAAACTAGACCTATATCACTTACCATGCAGTAAACCAACATTGAAATGGATCAAAGATCTAAATATTAAAACAGAAACACTAAATTTGCTAGAATATAGGTTAGGTAGAACTCTTGAAGACATCAGCATAGGAAAAGACTTCATGAAAAAAACTTCAGTCCCACGTGAACTAAAGCAAAAAATCAACAACTGCTATCTTATCTTATTAAAAAGCTTCTTCACAGCAAGAGAATCCACCAACAGAATAAAGAGACAACACACAATGTGGGGTGTGGGGAAACTGAAACTCTCACCTAACAATAGTATGCAGAAAACTAGAAGTGGTTAACAAGGAGCTAATCTATCAACTTAATGAAGCCACATTCCAGCCCAAAGTGCATGTGAATACCTTTTGACCTTAGGAATCGTAAAATATTATGGTGTCTAAACATTTTCTTGTGATGTCTTTCTGCAGATGTTTCTTGTGTATCTACACAAGATAATGTGCTAATAATGTGTGTATAAAGAACCAGGTTTGCCTCAATTAAAGCAGACAGTCTTTTGTCTCCACTCTGCCTAGAGTGTCTTTCCTTTTCAATCCTCACTCTCTCCTTCAGGTACTGTTCGACTAGTGGGGGCTGGTCCCCCACAAGTGGCACCCGAACAGGGACCTGAATACGAGAGGCACAGTGAAGGACACCGCTGGATAAAGAAGAAAAAGGAGATCTCAACAAAAAGGCCTTCAAAAGGACAAAGGAGGAGCAGTGAGTTTTCTTTAAAAAAAAAAATGGGAGTAGGAAATAGCCCTATGTTGTTTATGCATATGTTAAAGAACCTTTTAAAGGCAAGAGGTATAAAAGTTGAACAGCAGCAGCTTGTAAAATTTTTTAAACATGTGAAGGATATTTGCCCATGGTTCCTTGAAGAAGGATCCATAAATGTGGAAGCATGGGATGGAGTAGGGTGCTGTTTAAAAGAATATTATTTAAAAGAAGGGAAAAAGGTGGTTCCCGCTGAGATATCTAGTTTTTGGTCGCTTATTAAAGAAAGCTTAAATCCAAAATCTATGCTTACAGAAGAGGAAAAAAATTTTAAAAAACCTGAAAAATTACCAGAAAAGGAGGAAGGTGTAACTCCTTCAGTTACCTGTGATATTGAGAAATTAGGAGAAAAATTTAAAAAACAAATTTTAGAGGAAATAATTCAAGAATATCCTAGACATTCTTGGAATCCATTTGTTGCTATGACTGAAGAATCTGTGGAGCACGACAAAAATAAAACTCAAGCTAAGCCTGGTCCAGAAAAGTTAGAATTTGCTGCTTCGCCTGGGATGGAGCCATCTGACCTTCAAGGACTTTTTCAACCAAAATCCTGTAATGGTTGGCGTCCCCTTCATGTAAATTCCCAGTCTTTTCTTTACCCATTACAGCAGAGCCTTAAACAAGCTTCTATCAATGGGGAGGATTTGTCTGATTTTCTTCATTTGTTTCCTGTTTTTGAGGGAATGGATGGGGAAGGAAATATGGTATGAACTCATAATCTGGTTCCTTTTAAACAATTAAAAGAATTAAAAATGGCATGTGCTCAGTATAGCCCTATTACTCCATTCACTCAAGCCTTGCTAGATTCTTTGTCCACTGATGCTCTCCCTCCATTTGACTGGAAACAAATTGCTAAAGCTTGTCTTTCTGGGGTGATTATTTGTTATGGAAATCTGAATATACAGAACAATGCCAGAGAATTCCAGATCTTAACAGACAGCAAGGAGAACTTAATACAACTTATCAGATGCTAGCAGGAGAGAGACCTTATGCTGAGGTTACTCAGCAATTAGGTTTTCCCCCAGGTGTGTATGCTCAGATTAATACTGCTGCTAAAAATGCTTGGAAAAAACTTCCTTCATCTGGACGAGCCTCAGAAGATCTTTCTAAAATTAGACAGGGACCTAATGAGCCTTTTCAAAATTTTGTGGATCGCTTGTTACAAACTGCCAGCAGAGTCATAGGAGAATTCGAAGCTGGTATAGTTTTAGTAAAACAACTGGCTTATGAGAATGCTAATTCTGCCTGCCAAGCTGCCCTTCATCCTTTTAGAAAGAAGGCTGATTTATCTGATTATGTTCGTTTGTGTGCTGATATTGGCCCCTCTTACACCCAGGGTCTTGCCATGGCTGCGGCTTTACAGGGAAAGACCGTCAAAGAGGTCTTATTTCAGCAACATAGAAGTCCTCAGAAAAAGGGAAATAATAGGAATTGTTTTGGTTGTGGTCAAGCAGGACATTTGATAAAAAATTGCCCTCAACGAAAAGAAGGTGGGCTTTCTTCCAAGCAGCCTGGTTTATGCCCTAGATGTAAAAGAGGATATCATTGGGCTAATGAATGTAAATCTAAAAAAGATGCCATGGGGAATTTTATTCCGTCGGGAAATGGACGGAGGGGCCTGCCCCTGGCCCCGTATCAAACTTTTGGGGCTTTTCAGAATCTGATCCCTCAAAATCAGTCAAAAAATCCATTCAGGACTTATTCCGAGCCACCTCAGGCAGCGCAGGATTGAACCTCAGTTCCTCCTCCTATGCAGTATTAACCCCTGAAATGGGAATGCAAGCCCTACCCACTGGAGTTTTTGGGCCACTACCTAAAGATACTTTGGGTCTCTTGTTAGGTAGGAGTTCCTCTACTATGAAAGGGCTTATGATTTCCCCAGGAATTATTGATGAGGACTATACTGGAGAAATTAAAATTATGGTTTGTTCACCTTCTCAAATTTCTGTTATTCAGCCTGGACAGCGTATAGCTCAATTGATTATTTTACCCAGAGTAGTCACTTCAGGAAGATATAAAAAAGCCATTAGAGGGAATAAAGGTTTTGGGTCCTCAGATGTTTATTGGGTGCAGTCTATTGGAGCTAATAGGCCAGAAATAAAATTGTTAATTCAAGGAAAATCTTTTATTGGGTTATTAGATACTGGTGCTGATGTCTCTGTTATAACTGCTGACCAGTGGCCTTGTACATGGCCTTTGCAGGAGACTGTCTCTCAATTACAAGGCATTGGTCAAAGTAAAAATCCTAAACAAAGTACTGATATGCTAAATTGGAGTGATTTTGAAGGACACTGTGGGACTTTTCAGCCTTACGTTATTCCTGGCCTCCCGGTTAATTTATGGGGAAAAGATGTCATGCAACAGATGGGAGTTTATTTGTATAGCCCTAATCAAAAGGTTTCTAATCAAATGTTTGATCAAGGATTCTTGCCTAATGTTGGGTTAGGAAAGGAAGGTCAAGGAATTCAATCTCCTGTGACTCCGACAGCCCATCCTCCTAGACAAGGCCTGGGGTATTTTCCCTAGGGGTCATTGACATTCCTGCACCCCATGCAGATCCAATTGTCTGGAAAGATGAAAAACCTGTTTGGGTTGATTAATGGCCTTTAACTAGTGAGAAATTAACAGCTGCCGGACAGTTAGGAAAAATTTCAATGGGAGTCTCCTTTTTCATATTTGGGATATCAACTTTATCCTCGAAAAATAATTACCCAAAAGTTACAGATTTGAAAAGATAATTTGAAAACTTTGAATGATTTTCAAAAATTGTTGGGAGATATTAATTAGATAAGGCCTTATTTAAAATTAACTACCAGAGAATTAAAACTTTTATTTGATATCTTGCAAGAGGATTCCCCGACAGAGTCCCTGGTTCTTTCAGTTTGTTTGTCTTACATTCTGTTTGGGCCTCTTTTGTTCTCGTTTGTCTGTTCACTTATCTCTAATTTTCTGACAGGATGAAAAGAAGTTCATCTACCTCCCTAACTCTAATTTTAGATCATTTCCAAGAGGTCCATCAGACTGCAGCTGACCCTGGACTCCATATAACTAAGAAAGAGATTTCAAAACAACTCCAGTCTAGGAGTGGCTCAAAACTTCTGCTCTGTGACAATCAGCTGCTAATGAGAATGATTTAGTTTTGGTAACACTTCTTCTGCATTGCAAATTCTTAAACTGTGATTATAGGGTTAACTTGCTTTTTTCTAAAACTCAAGGTTAATACTGTTCTATTGGCAGTCAGTCAAATTTTAAAATGTAACAACCTGAAAACAGAAAAAGGATACTTTAAGCTGAAGTTTGTTATAGAAAATTAATAGTAAATGAGGCAGAAAAATATTAGGAAAGCTATAAATAAGAGTTATACTTTTGACATGAAAAGTTTTTGTGTGTTTGTCTGATTAGAAACAGGTAAAGAAAGATATACAAAACCAAAAGGCCTATGTAGAGAAGGTATGTAAAAATTATTTAATTAAAAAAAAAAAGTATCCTTGCTTGTTGGTTTCAAGTTTATTATAAAAGGCTTATATTTACAGTCAAGAACAGCTTTTATTCCTTTAACCCTAATTCTATGAGATCTCTGTTAACTTTGACCTGCAAAAGTCTTGACTAGTCATAACTAAAAGATTTTATAATTCAATTGGCCAAAACCATCTGAGTGCACTCTAGTTTAAATTGTCTTATATGTTTGTCTGTCTAAATGTTCAAAAGTGTCTGATTATATTTTTGATCAAAATGACTTCAAATATAAGTAGATTGTTGATTTCTACACCCTGGTTTTATACGTTAAGTAAAAAATTTAAAGATAATTAAATATAAACTTGTAAGCTTGGGTGCAATCCTGTTGGTAAATAAAGAAGCAGCTGCTCAGAAAATTTATTCTGATCTTTGTTCACTAATGGGAGCCACCCAAATAATTTTCATAGCATTATAAAAAGATATGCCTTGTTAAATATGTTGTTAAAATGTTTATATTGGTTATCATCAAAAGGCTGAATTCTGAATATGTTATTGTAACATGTTTATGATGGTTATCTTCAAAATATATTATTTCAAAAAAAAAAAATAAATAAAAGGGGGAAAATCCTGTTGATACAAAGCTACATTACAGGACATAAGATTTCATATAATTATAAAAAGTTATTACTGCTACTTTTCTGGTATACAAAATGTATTCACATTGTCTGACCATGCAGGTTTTCCAGTATATTGTTTCTGATAATAACCTTTTGGTCCAGGTATTCTCCCTTCTCTTCTGCTCCACCTACTTAAGGTTACAGGTACATTTATAGACCCACCACTATCCCTGAACAGCTTGAAGCTGGGTTTCCACTGAGGAGAATGGATTGGGACCCCAACACTGAAGTGAAAGAGAGAACTCCAGGATGTGTCTCGGTGCACAAGTGGGAATTTCATTCCAAAAAGCAAAATGTGACCATCTTCTATCCGAAATAAAAAGGACAAAAATGGAACTGGTGAGCCCCTGCAATCCCTTCCCCTGTGTGAGGAAGAGACAATGTTACTATACCTCAGGAAAGATTATTTAATGACACATCTCGAAAGTTTTTGGACTAATCACTTGGAAATTCCACAGACTTAAGCTTATCTGAAGGACTCTGGTGGAGAGATTCAGGTTTTCCTCAGACGAACATTTGGAAACTTGCTGCTGCATTGGGAGAAATACGTTTATGGCCAGATATCAAAGTCACTAACCTTAGTTTTGCTGTTTTTGGCAAAGGGGCCGCTAACATGCGAAATACCATAAGTACTGTGTTATCTCAAGCCAAAGGACAAAAGAAAGCTGTCTTGTCCTGTGTCGATGCCCCATATGTTCTTCTAATAGGAAATATACAGATTATGTATGAAAACGATAAGGAATATAATGTTAGTTGTTCTAATTGTATTTTATCTAACTGTGTCGCCAATGTATCTGATAATAATTTGTCTCTTATGGTTTTAAGGCAACCTCTCTTTGTTATGATTCCTGTATCCATTAATGAGACCTGGTATGAAGAACAAGGATTGCAGGTGCTTAAGATGATTAGTAAGGCTTTAGCTAGACAAAAAAGATTTATTGAATGGGTTATTGTTGGAGTCATAGCTCTTGTCACTATTATAGCCTCAGCAACTATGGCTGCTGTGGCATTAACCCAAGAAGTAAAAGAAGCTCAGTTTGTTAATTCCCTCGCTCAGAATGTTACCCATACTTTTGTTACCCAATATGATGTAGATAAGAGACTAGAAGAGAAATTAAATGCTCTTCATAAAACAGTTGATATTATGGGAGAAGAAATTCAGAGTTTACAGATTCAATCTCATCTTTCTTGTCATGCTATGTATAAATGGATTTGTGTTACTCAAAAATCTTATAATAGAACACAATATGATTGGTCTCAGATAAAAAAGCATTTGCAGGGAATATGGAATGATTATAATACTTCTCTTGACCTTGTTCAATTACATCAAGAAATTTTAAATTTACAAAATTCCCCTTCTTTAAAATATGATGCAGCTCAAATTGCTGAAAATTTCTTAGATCATCTTAAGAATGTTTTTCCATCTTTTGATCATTGGTATAAATTGTTATGGCCCATTTTGGCAATTGGAATTGGAATTTGTGTTGGGTGTGTGGTCATTTCTGTTTTGACCAGAGTTTTCATTTCTTCCATCACTACTGTGGCTAGTCGAGTTCATGGTCTCCATCTTTATTCAAAAGATCCTCCTTATTAAACAGAGGCTGGTAGTCAAAGACGGGTAAGAGGACCATAGAGAAATATTCAACCTAAGACAGAGTATGGGAAAGAGGAATATCCCATTACTCGATGACGGGTAAGAAATTTCATCTGATGGTCCTCGCCTAAGACAGGCACAGTCTACCTGTGGAAACAGAATGAAGTTCTGTTTTCTTTTAATTAAAATAAAAAAGGAGGAAATGTGGGGAAACTGAAACTCTCACCTAACAATAGTATGCAGAAAACTAGAAGTGGTTAACAAGGAGCTAATCTATCAACTTAATGAAGCCACATTCCAGCCCAAAGTGCATGTGAATACCTTTTGACCTTAGGAATCATAAAATATTATGGTGTCTAAACATTTTCTTGTGATGTCTTTCTGCAGATGTTTCTTGTGTATCTACACAAGATAATGTGCTAATAATGTGTGTATAAATAACCAGGTTTGCCTCAATTAAAGCAGACAGTCTTTTGTCTCCACTCTGCCTAGAGTGTCTTTCCTTTTCAATCCTCACTGTCTCCTTCAGGTACTGTTGGACTAGTGGGGGCTGGTCCCCCACAGTGGGGAAAACTTTCTACCAGCTGTTTCTCAGACAAAGGTCTACTATCTAGAATATATAAGGAATGTATAAATATATAAAACTCAGACCTCCCAAATTTAAAGACCCAATCCATAAATGGGCACCTGAAATGAACAGACATTTCTCAGATGAAGAAGTAAAAGCAGCAAATAAACACATGACAAAATGTTCAACATCACTAGTCATTTGAGAGATGCAGATGAAAACAATGCTGAGATTCCACCTCACCCCAGATAGAATGGTTGCTATCAAGATATCAATCAATAATAAATACTGGTGTGGTTGTGGGAGGAAAAGGAACACTTCACTGTTGGTGGCAGTGTAGACTGGTGCAGCTACTGTAGAAATCAGTATGGTGACTCCTCAAAAAACGATGATTAAAGGTCCTATTTGACCCATCTTCCTCTATTGGGTATCTTCCCAAAAGAATTAAAAGCATCATACCACAGTGATATATATACATAGCCATGTTATTGAGGGCCAGATTTTAATAGCTAAATCTTGGAAACAGCCCAAATGCCCACCAAATGTTGACTGGATAAAGAAGATGTGGTTTTTGTTATAAAATGGAGTACTACTCAGCTCTAAGGGTGATAAACTAAATACATTCATAGCTATGAAAGCACATTGCAGCCACACTCTTAATAGAAATGAATAGACAAACATAGGTAAATACCAAATAGTTTCTCTGGTGTGAGAAACTGAAAGTGTAAATGAGGACCAAAATGTATATTAGGTAGTATTAAATAAGGAGAAAAGGTCCAAATGGGAAGGGAAATTAGAAGGGGTGTTAGGAGAAAGCAAAAAAGGGTAAGAAAAAAATATGAGGAAAGAAGGAAAA